TTATCGAGATCGGCTCGCGCTGCACAGATGTTGCTGGTCCGAACTGATAAACGGTCCGTGAAGCACATAATAAGTAGCGCAGTTTCGTTCTGCTTTCATTACGCTTGCAATATTGCGCAACGTTGTGGTGGTCGTGCCAGCGCAAATTTTGTCGGCAGGAAAAATGGTCCAAGGAATCGTTCGGTTTGTATGCGTACCGAACCGGAAGCCTCGAACCGAAACGGTTCAATGCGAATACATGTACCGTTACACCCCTAGTATTTATGTTTTATTCATAGATATTTCTAGTTTGCGGGAGTCCCGTGAATCGTTTTATTCACATACAGAGTGAGTGCATTACCGCCCGCGCTCGCACTCGGCCATCAAATCTAGTGCCGAGCCGGACTCTATTGCGTTGGGAGTGCACGTCTCTAGATCAAGGGCCCGGCCCGAGAATAGTGTCGGGAAATATCGGCCCGACCCTCGGGCTCAGGTAGAGAATCTAAGCTCTAGGAAGGATTGTCTTCTCTTCTGGTGCCTGGCGCGTTATTGAACCAATCAGATAAGAGTAAATCAAGAGTCACCGAGAAGCTCATTTGATTGGCTACATGATGGTGAACCCGCCCTCCTCTTTGCGCTTGCAAAACTCAATGAGTAAGAGAATCGTGCCAAAACTGTAAGCGCAGAAAGACGGAACTGTGCAAATCGGGTTATTTCGGGAGCATTTACCCTACGCACACAACAAGTCATTTAGACATTTGCAACAGTTAATTTTTTACGCATACAGATTGGTTTTACACTTTCAATCCGGTTTGCAGTTGTTTTCGGTTGCAAATCACTGTTTACAGGCTTGCAATGATTTTGGCTGTATTTCAGCTAAATAAACATGCCAAAAGTGTTAGCGCGGAAAAATGGAAGTCAGAGGAATACAGATCATATTTATTTTGCGTTAGCGAGAAGCTGCAGTTTCACAATACATGAATCACACTTGCGAAAACAAGCAAAATGTTTTTTTTCTTCTGGCGCTTGAAACATGATTTACACCTTTACAAATATTCTCTTGCGCATGTGTTACCGGCCTCAGACCTAGGGGAAATCTGGGCTGGCAGCAAGGGTACACAGGCAGTGAAGCACTGTGCACCTGTGAAACACTGTGAAATAGTAAAGAGACAGACAGGATAAGCGTCTTTCCCTTGGCGCGTCTGCTTTACTTCTCAGATCGCACAATAGTAACAACTGTAAACATTTCTTGAATTACATTCAGAAAAATAACTTCATCTGTACATAGCTGATAGGTAATATAACTCATACACACTCTCAGTACCTGAATACACTCCTGTGATCCATAACCACAAAGTAATATATTTTTATATATTACATACTATATGCATAGAAGAACAGATACAAACTAAAACATAAAAAAAATTCACATAAATCTCACTTTTAGGTTATACACAAGCAAAATATTCTCACACACAATTGTGTAAAGCTTAAATGTACCCAGTATGAAAAATACATAAATCAATAATACCTCTGAAACCTGAACGCCATGTTCTATACACCACTTCACTCTCATTACCTCGTGTCACACATTTACACGACACGTGTACCCGTAAAGCATTCAAAATGGCGTTCGAAATATAACTGCGTCACATATGCTCAACTTAATCAGTTTAAACACAAATAACAAATACCCTTGCATTACTAATGCAATTAAACATTACAATAATGTGATCCGTCTTGAAACGCTTCTAAATGTATTTACTAACCGATTAATCTGTTTATATCTATAAACGTCGAGGTAATCAAATCTATATAAACACATTTAAACACGAAAGAGTTACTTTAAACACTTCACAGTTACTTCTTTAAACCTTCTCGTTATCTCATGAACAGTTGGAAGTATGTCTAAAGTGTATTTTATTTACCTGTGAAATAGTAAAGAGACAGACAGGATAAGCGTCTTTCCCTTGGCGCGTCGGCTTTACTTCTGAGATCGCACCCGGGACAAATCTAGTCTCAATAGTATACTTCACAGGAGCGCTCAAGCGCCCTCCGCTGGTGTGGCGGCGGCGAACTGATTCTTGACTGTTAGTGTTCTTATTCAAAAAATAAAGTGGGGGTGGGGTGGGTGGCGTTTTCCATGAATTCTCTGGTAACATCTTTTATTACATCCGTTACACATGCAAATTTAATTTACGCTTGAAATCTTATGCACACTTTCACAAATCTTACCCTGCGCAATAGGGATGTAACGATTCACTCATCTCACGATGCGATACGATTCACGATACTGGTTTCACGATACGATTTTCTCACGATTTTTTTAACAAATGCGATTTAAGACAAAAGTGTCCCTTTTATTATTTCTCAGACAAAATGCTGCACATTTCTTTTTAATTTAAAATATATTTCTCAAATAATAAAACTACATTAAAAAAATTCCCTTCAAGGTTGTTTCAACTCAGTCTTTCTGTCTGTTTGGTCAAGAGGCTGGACACTGGTACCTTCGCACACTATGTAAAAGACTGTGTAAAATTAGTAGTACCAGATTGACAGGGGTTTTACATTGTAATAAAGGCAAGATTCTAATTTTGTTATAATTTGTATCATTACACTAGTAAGAGTAAAAAAAAAACACATTTAGAGAAAGAGATAGTAAAATAAATACAACACCTGGTTGCCACGGAAACACTGATGCACCTTGTGATCTCCGTGGCTCTCGCAATTGTAGTATTAATGACTTTTACATGAAAACGGAGGTGACTGGTGTTACTCACGGTGGTGATTATTATTAGTCTACGGAAAGTCAAAATGCCGCCACACCTCCGATTTGAATGAGTCAACGTCAACATCTACGCTTGCCGTCGCCAAAGCCATGTCTACTGTTTGACGGCACGTGCACACCAGTCTATGGCACACACTGGTGCGGCGCGAGCGGAGCAAACCGAGCGTTTTCAGTTCATTCCTATGGAAGTTGAGCTTGGCTCACACAAGATCAAGTTCCATGAATGAAGTGAAAACACTCGCTAGCTTCACGCCAGTGTGTGCTCGCTGCTATTGTGCTATTGTAAAGCGAGGTTCACAACTTCACAGTAGGCTATAGTAAACGCGCCCTGCTGTTTAAAACGTGTATCGCGATTCGTTTAACATTTCAACCGACTTGAATCGTCACACATTTTTATCGATTTTCAACCGGTTGCGAGTGAATCGTTACATCCCTACTGCGCAAGCAATTCTTTATGGTATCTTATTACCTTCATACATACGTGTCAGCATGTTGTACACAGTAAGATTGTGAACTGCAAGCTTTTTTTTCTAATACTAGGCAGAGGCTTTTAGCTTTTGGGCACAAAAGGAGTACATACGACCATGATGTGTTGCTGGCCTTGGTTTTGTCGGACAACTTTACGGCGCAGGCCTTTTCTTTTAAAAGGAGGTTGTGCTGCCACTCGTCATCAGGTAAGTTGCCGGTCTTTTTGTGGGTAGTAGAGGCCTAGGTTGAGATGTTTGAACTCATCTGTGAACACTTGCCTTGACAAAGGTGTTTCATTCTTCTCTGCTGCAGCGCGACAATACACTGCATACATATCAGCCATCGACTGAAACACAGGTTCCAGATACTGTTTAGATGTTGTGGATCTGTAGTAGTGTGAGGGGACCTTTAGGAGCTCCTGCAAAAAGTTGCGAATGAATTCATGGCCTGCCACTGAACGACGTGCGTTGCTGTGTGTTTGTCCCTGTGTCTGCTTGCGTGTCCCTCCTTTGCTCACTTAAAAGAGCATTGCGGAAGTTCTGAAATTTCTTACTGTTACTGACACCAGTGGCCGTTAGAGAAACTGCAGCCAGTCTCATGCTCGTTCTCGGTGCACACGCTCGTTGGCCATTCAAAAGGGACCATCAAAATAAAGTGTTACCAAAATCAAGTGCAAATACAAATACAAAAATAAGATGGTTCTTAATAATCACCCTTTATTAAATGTATGAACACAGACACCCCCCAACCTTCCCATGGAATGGGAAACGTGACATTAACCTGTTAACACAGGTTAATGTCACATTTCCCATTCCATGACTAGTTAAATAATCGCAACGTATTCTCTGTAAAATTGCGTAATCCGCAGGGTGATGGACACTGAGATGGGTAAAAAGGTTGGTGGCTACACATTCTGCAGCGCCGTGTAGGACAACTCGAGGTATCGCACACCGGACGCGCACTTTCTCAGTTTATGGCCAGCAGTATTCTTATGTTTAAGGAGATTATGAAATTAAGATAATGTCTGTACTATGTTCTGATTGTACTGTACAATTAAATACAATAGTTGCTGAGTCTGATCTGAACACTTTACCTCAGAGCATCCATTAACTGAATGAATTGAGAATATCACCTGAAAATCCGATCACATCAGCAATTTTCATTCAAGCAGCTGAATGAAAGAACTCAAAGAACTCCCATACAGGCGAGCTTACTTTTTTCGGGTGTGGACAGAGTGTTTCACTCTCTCGGTAGCTGCGCGGCCCGGGCTGCGTCTTCTTGATAGGTGTCAGCGGGTGCAATACAGCCACCTGAGAGGTTAAGCAGGTACTCGCGCTGGAGTATTTACGTGTCATGTTATCATAACAGTCCTATTCATTTTAAACATGGTGGTTATCGCCAATACCGGTATATTGCGACACCCATCATTTTCGTTTTCCTAGTGCTATAGGGTTATTTTCACTATACAATAACCTACACAACAGTAGTAATGATACTTTATTTTTCCCCATAGGCATTTTTTTTAGTCAGTGAGTTTCTAAACATGGGCATTTCTAAAACACAAAAAAAAACACATGGGCTTACAATAAACAAAAACAGCTAAAAAAAATACATATTCCTTTATAATTCCAATCAGATTCAATAACTAATCACTTGTGACAGAAAAATTTTTTTGATCCGTGTCTGATATGGACCACATACACCGTCAGGGGGGGCTGTGACTGGATGATGACAGGTGTCAGATCTGTGGACATACCACGTTTAAAGTCACTTAAATCAGCTTTCTTCCTCATTCTGTTACTCAGTTTGAACTTCATCTTGACTATGTATACATGCTTAAATGCATTGAGTTGCTGCCATGTGATTGTTTAAATATTTGTGTTCACAAATAGTAACAGGTGAACCTAATAGAGTGGCCAGTGAGTGTGTAAAGGTAATGTGAACAGTCTCACGACAAATAAACATTGAGAAAAAAATAACTGATTTGGTCCACATTCATCAACGGCTTGAACGTAGCCTTAATTTCACACAGATACGAATTTTCTGGTGCCATTTTAAATTGCTAAACCATTTGAAACTCTTTCCACACAAACACAAATAGGGTCTCAAATCTGTGTGACTTTTCAGGTGTATCTGTAAGTGTAATGGCAAAATAAATTTATTACACTTATCACAATCCAATTTCTTTCCTCCAGAGGGAATTTGGAAATGACGTTTCATGTCTCTTAGATTTGTGAAACTTTTCTCACGCTGAAGACATGTGAAAGGCCTCTTTCCATTGTGAAGTCTCATGTGAATTTTAAGCCTTCTTTTATTTTTAAAACTCTTTCCACAGTGATTGCACATGAAAGGCTTTTCTCCAGAGTGAGTTATTACATGATTCTTAAGGCGCTTCATGTCTGCGAAACTACTTCCGCAATGATGACATTTAAAATAGTTTTCTCTTGAGTGAATCCTCATGTGCTTATTAAGGTTTTGTCTTCCAACAAAACTTTTCCCACACTGAACACATGTGAACGGCTTCTCACCAGTGTGACTTCTTATATGGTCCTCAAGGGTCTCTTTACGTGTGAAACTCTTTACACACCAACAGCATTTGAACGGCTTTTCTCCAGTGTGAATTTGCATGTGGTACCTAAGGCCTAGTTCCCGTGTGAAGCTCTTCCCACAGAGTTTGCAGGCGTAAGGCTTCTCTCCGGTGTGAATTCTCATGTGCTTTTGAAGGTTTCCTTTTTGAGTGAAACTCCTTCCACACTGTTGGCAAGTAAATGAGATATCTCTAGAGTGAATCCTCATGTGAATTTTAAGGCTTCCCTTTTCACTGAACCTCTTTCCACACTTTTGGCATTTGAAAAGGTCGTCTACTGTGTGAATTCTCATGTGGTTTGTAAAGTTTCCTTTTTGAGCGAAACTCTTTCCACATTGTTGACAGGTGTAAGGCTTCTCTCCAGTGTGAAGTCTCATGTGAATTTTAAGCTGTCCCGTTTCATTGAAACTCCTTTTACAAAGTTTGCAGGTGAAAGGTTTCTCCCCGGTGTGAATTCTAATATGGACTCTAAGGGCTCCACGTTGATAAAAACTCTTTCCGCACTGTTGGCAGGTGAAATTTTTAGCTCTTTTCCGTGAGTTCTTATCAATCTGTGTAGATTTTTTTCCAGTCATGAAATCATGATCTTTCTCTTCCATTTCCTTAGAACTCTCCTCTTTCAGCGCCATCAGGTCTAAGATGAAAAAAGACAAATACAAGTTGACACCAGTTTAATGGCTCAAAGCAAAAGACATCAAAATATAAAAAAAAAAAAAAAACATTTTAAGCATCAAAACCAACAAGATATAGGCTATATACCCCATCTTATCCAGGGTTTTTCGTTGGTCAAAATTGTCTTCGGTGGGGGAGAACAAACACGGTCATCACACACAGTACAAAGTACTGACAATAAATCCAAAATAAATGCATAGTAACAGTTTGTAATATTACCTTATCCTATTTATACACAAAATAAAAAATAATCATTGTCAGTACAGATCATAAAACAAAGTGCTTAGAACTATTTTGTTTTTAAAAATGTGTGAATGATTTGCAAGTTAGGAATAAAATTAACAACAAAGTAATATTACATAGAAAATAGGGATGCACCGAAATTTCGGCTGTTGAAAATGATCGGTTTGAACTAATTATTAATCTCACTCACTTATTATTTCACCTGGCTCAGCATGTTTTGTGACTTTGCGAGCGGCTCCGCTTCCGAAAGATGCACAACTTCGAAGCGTGTTCTGTGTGTGTGCGCTGTGCTCTCCGCACCGTGTTCACAGCGCGTTCTGCTCAATGTTCCGCTGCAACCTCAGTGTGTGTTACGCGCCCTGCTCAGTCGCTCACGGCCCAAATGCATGTACCGTTCACGCTCACTCACCGGAAAGGCAAAGTCTGCTAAAAAACGTGCCGACATTAAATTTCACTGGACTTGTTTCTGTTTGCAATAGCCCTACTGTGTGTATAGCCATGCTGGGAAACGCTGTTCAAATGACGCCACCCTCTTGTTCACTGATCCTCTCCCTGCCATCTGCTCTGATAATAACAGCTTTTTTGGACTACTTTAATTTGATAACAGGTCAAAAAATAAATCTGTTAAATCTGATTCTGCTGCATAGAACCGAATAAAGAATAATATATTGATATATGATGATATTTTATATTATTTTAATATAGGCCTATTTTCTGTCAAAATTTTTTGTAACTTGAAATAAAAGTTTGGTCATTTTATTGGCTTGATTTAGTTTTTATTCAGATTCATTATTAAGAGGCCCAGCTTGCCTCATTCGACCTCAAACGAGTATCTACTGCGGCTACTCACAAATCAGGTAAGAGTTCTCAACGGGTCGGGTCGGCCCGACAAACCCGACGGGACCCGCGGGTTCGGGCCGAAAATATTTGCAAATGACTCGGGTCGGATCGGACCTCGGGCTTAATCTTTTGAATTGTACAGTGAAAGAAAAAAAAAACATTTATTATTCATCGCTGCTGTTCACTGTAAAGAAAGTCTGGCTGCTGCATGCAACGTGCATCGCGACGCGAGGGCAGACCTGACGCCGCTGCGTGCACGCCTTTAGCCCGGAGAAGAAGATGGAGTTGGTGAAAAGTAAACTTGCTGCAGGTGAAATCACCGTTGCTCAGGGGCGGCGCGACACGTTGTGTGATTATCTCGGCAGTTTAGGACATCGCACACGATTTGCGTCAATACAGAAAACATTTAATCACTGGATAGTTTTTCTCGTTTATTGAAATGTGGTTTATGTCAGCTGGATGGGCGGAATGTGTGAGACGTGAGAGTGCGCGCGCGCGCGGCCGGGGCTCTCTCTCTCTGCGTCAAGCGCAGTAGTCATTCTATTCTACATCACTCACCGATCAAGGGTGGCGTCGGGCCGCGGGTCGGGTTCGGGCAGATAATTCATGTTGATGTGTCGGGTTACATCGGGTCCGGGCTTTAAAAGCCACGGGCCGGGTCGGGTCGGGTTGTAATTTTCAGGCCCGTTGAGAACTCTAAATCAGGTAACCAATTGGACCTTATTTACACGCGCTATTGCTCCACTGACAATACAGTGGTCACTAAGATCACTTCCTCCTCACTCTCAAACTCAACCTGCCCCAGAACACAACACTCCCTCCACAGGTCACCTTTTGGCGGAACCTACGCTCAATTTCACCCTCTCACCTATTCTCTTTGGTCTCATCCAAACTTCCTCCACCCGATCAGCTCTCAACACTAGATACTAACAGTGCAACTGATACTCTTTTCTCCACTTTAACATCCTGCTTGGACAACTTCTGCCCCCTTTCCTCCAAGCCAGCCCACGCCACACCCTCTGCACCCTGGTTATCTGATGTTCTCCGCAAACATCGTTCTAAGTGCAGAGAGGAAGTGGTGCAAATCGAAAGATCCTACAGACCTTGGTCTTTATCAATCCCTCCTCTAATATCTCTACTGCTAAAATGACTTACTATCACAACAAAATTAACAATTCTTCTGACGCTCGCATGCTTTTCAAAACCTTCTCCATCAACCCTAACAGGTTGTATCTGTCTGCTGCCTTTGACACAGTTAACCACCAGATCCTCCTGTCAATCCTAAAGATGAAGGGCATCTCGGGAACCGCACTCCAATGCTTCAAGTCTTATACCTCTCAGGTAGGTCCTTTAGGGTGTCATGGAGGGGTGTGGTGTCTAAGACCCAACATCTAGCTACTGGGGTGCCTCAGGGCTCAGTGCTTCGACCACTTCTCTTTTCCATCTACATGACATCACTAGGATCAGTGATTCAGAAACATGGCTTTTTCTATCACTGCCACGCTGATGACACACAACTCTACCTTTCATTCCAGCCTGACGATCCCACGGTAGCTGCTTGTATCTCAGCCTTTCTGACAGACATCTCTGGCTGGATGGACCACCACTTTCTACAGAGCTACTTGTGGTCTGGCCAACCCAACACTTCATCACAACTTCTCAATTCAGCTAGGCTCATCATCCATAACTCCAATTGATCATCAATTACAACCCCAAGATTCCTGGCTGACCTTGATTAACTTCACAGACCACATTGCTAGAACTGCCCGGTCATGTAGATTTGCCTTGCACAACATCAGGCCCTTCCTACTAGAGCATGCTATACAACTCCTTGTCCAAGCGCTTGTTCTATCCAGACTGGACTATTGTAATGCTTTCCTGCCTGGTCTTCCAGCTTGCTCTGTCAAACCTCTGCAACTGATCCAGAATGCTGCAGCCAGAGTGGTCTTTAATGAGCCAAAGAGAGCACACGTTACTCCTCTCCTTACAAAATTCCACTGGTTGCCAGTTGCCACTCGCATTAAATTCAAGTCTCTGACGTTTGCCTACAGAACAACCACTGGCACTGCTCCCTTTTACCTAAACTCATTACTTCAGACTTATGTGCCATCCACATCCTTGCGCTCTGCAAGCGAATGTCGTCTTGTGGTACCATCTCAAAGAGGTAAAAAAAAAATCTCTTTCTCAGACCTTTACCATGACTGTTCCTCTGCCCAACTCAACCAGAGCTGCTGAGTCAGTAGCCACTTTCAAGAAACAGCTGAAGACGCAACTTTTTCGGCAGCACTTGCATATTGTTGTCCTACTGTTAGTTTAACTGCTTCTATTGTTTTCATTTGTAAGTCGCTTTGGATAAAAGCATCTGCTAAATGAATAAATGTAAATGTAATTGAATTATTGTATTTAATCACAAAGTTTAATACATTTACACACAAAATGAATTTAAAATAAGAATTAATAATTATTTTTTAAAACGTTATATTTGGGTTTTCAGCCAAGTGCATCCAGAATTTTCATTTCAGTGCATCCCTACCTCTAACGCACATAAGTGTTTTACGTGATTATTAGAGGTTGAATTCAAATAAAATACTGCCAAACTGCTCATACTACTTCTGAATAGGATTGTCTACTTCATAAATTGTATGAATATTATGGAAACATATGTCTAAGATCACTCAAACCAAACATGGAAATGAAGGCGCCCTTATATGGTCAGTAATGCAGCTTGGATGTCATCTTGTGAAACAGTTTGGTACTGCGCCCAAACAAAATCTTACTGAAAGCTCATTTTTGAGATATCAACCTAAAGTTTGAAACTAAAACTTAAGTTGTGAGTAAAACATGTTTTGAAAAATATTAGTTTTTATTTAAAATATAAATAATTATATTGTTATATTGTACATTTCCATAAACTCAAACTTCTATAACTTTTTTCTTTTTCACTTTCATAATGTATAATTTACCTTCACTTCTACTATAATATGCCAAATGTCTTCTTTAAAACAAGACCAACCATAAGTCTATATTCCAAAGCATTTTTGAATCATAACCATTTAAGTTTGGATAGTGATTTTCATGTCGATGCGGGAAAAAAGGAGGGTGACAGTTAAGGGGTCAAAAGTCCCCCTGTAGTAAATAATTGTATCCCTTAAAACTCAGCTTTGATCATCAAAATGCCATATTTAAAGTTTTTTTTCCTTTAAAAGTTGAGGCATTAAAGGTACAATATGTAGGATTTTTCACCACCAGGGGTCGCTAACTTCTTACAATAACAAAGGCGTATATTGATGACGCAAAGCATTAAGCGGAATTATGGATCTTGTCGTCAAGCTGATGGATCTTTTATGGATGACTGAATACATTGATGTTTTATCATGACTGTGGTATGAAGCAGGGCGCGATTGCTAATGAGAGACGTATACCAGCGCCACACGCAACGCGAGTCCCGCGGATATAAAGGAATAAGGATATTTCATTCTACCGAACTACACGCAAGTGCTGAATTAATACTCACACAGGTCAGTTTATTAGACGAATTAAACTTGAGGTAACGCAGCGGTGTTTCACTTGCTCTAACAGTTACACTATCACACTAAACGACATTTGAGTGTGTTGAATGTTGTTAGTTAGGTTGTTTGTTGGCTCTATGAGACTAGCAGTAAGCTAGATCAACATTAGAATTACATACAGATCATATTCTAACATTTCATCATGTTGAACTAAATAACATTGATTAGTTTTATGTACATTTGCTCACCAGTGTCTAATAAAGTACATGCAACACTCGCGTCTCTGTCAAGTCGAAGTTAGTCGCGGACGTGGAGCTGCATAAGCGCAAGGAGTTGTACCCCTACTACTCAGCTTTCTCCTACTAAGTTACTCAGCTTTCTCCACAGAACAAGAGCCTGCTAGCTGAGCTTCCAAAAAAGATGTCTGACACTATATGTACATTCTGTGAGTGAGATCCCAGCCTCTATGGGCGGGTTGAGAACATGCGGAACAGCTCCTACTACTGGCTGTAGTCTTTAGCCTCTGGCCAAAAAATCCTCCGATGACGCAAAATTACGATTTTAGCTTCATCGGAGGATTTTTTCCAGACAAAAAATACAGAAATCTCTCGTCTCAGGGGGATATGAGGGTGGAAAGCACGGTAATTTGAAAATACTACAGGTTTTCTACTAATACAAAGCTTAATGCTAAATCCTGAAGTATCCCTTTAAAGATCAAAATGATTATAAATCAGCATATATTGGCCATCGGCTGCCTGGATTTCTAAATATCGTTATTGGCCAGAGAAAACTCCCCATCGGTCAACCTCAAAATGGAACTTTAGTAATTAGAACAAAAACTTGCTAAGCATGTATGAATGCATATTTGTCATTTACACTACTGACGTGTTTAGTTACACATTGTGTAGGTAACTATAAAGTTTATTCTGTTTTTCTCATAATCCACCAGACACTGACTTTAATGTATTTCGGTAGATGTGGATGAATTGACGTGTTGTAGGCGTAAATCTAACAGATTCATTTCTCTCAACAGATTCAAATATCTCTCAACTGCCGCGCGTACTAACATGGCGAACATTGTGCGTTATAGATCAACTAACATGAATCATGATCATTATAAAGGTTTCTTATATGACAAATTGCATTCACTTATGTATTTAAGAATAAAAATATCAGCCACGGACTGACTGACATGTAACGCAACCAATCATATTTCGTTTTGTTCCACGTCATGTTTAGTGTGAAAATGTAACGATGTCCATACCATAACAGACCTGCATACATCTAATAAATTAATTCAAAAACGTTGTGCAAGTTTACTGCAACAATAGAGCTGCGAACCTCACGTACTTTTGAAAATCCAGCCTTCAGTTGATCCAGATGAGCGCTCATTGTCACAGTTGTAAACATGAAGGCGTTCTTCAACGATGGGGCATTTAAGGTGATGATGCGTTCTAAAATAACGCTCACCTTGTGCAGGACATGCAATAAGTCAGGAGAGGTGTTGTATTTGGCCAGAGAAGGCAAAAAATGCTTTTGAAAAGAAATAAATTGCTGAAATTTAAAGCTGGTTTGTAGCATTCCAAGAATACACAGACTTTGCTGTTATTAGTACTGTAGTGTTATTTAGTGTTAAATTATTGTAGTTGGGTTAGGTGGCTTAGGTTTTACTGTGTATTTGTTATGTAAATTTGTTGTGTTTTGGATTTAGACTACTTATATTTATATATTTACTCTTAAGAACGACTTTTTAATTTAAAAAAAATTGAATGTCATTCACCATCGTTTTGAGGCTCTCTCTCTCTTTTTTTTTTTTGTATCGGTTCAGGCACAGGGAACCTTTTTAAAAGTATCGATTTGGCACCGGTATAAAAAAAAAAACAAGCGATACCCAACCCTAATAATACTACTACTAATTTGACTACCAATAACAATATACAGCACACTAAGGATTGATAACCTGCTGGGTTCATGAATATTAATCACGTTGTCAGCATTCACTCAAACTGATTCGCTGAAATCAAAGTTGAGATGAGCTCCAGCCAATGAGATCGCCATTTGCGCATTAGTTCCCCCACTCCCAGAGACACCTGCATATCTTCTGCTTGTACTTAAAAGCCGAATAATCTCAAAAGAATTTATTTTTATTATTTTGAAAATCCAACAAAGAATATAATTTACATGTAGCGTGTCGATTCTGCGTGGTATGCAAGACTCTTGCTCTCTCTCTATGCGTGTGTGTGAGAGAAACAGCGCTCTCAGCAAAGCGACAGCGAGTCGTGCGTCTTCACGCTAGACTTTACGGTACGTCAAATACCTTGCGCATCCATTGAGCTGAATTGAAATAGTACAGATCGCTTGATGGAGAGTGAAACCCTGAAGCGCTCAGTCAGAGTTCAATGAGTGAAAATATGTCTATGCTCAACTTATACTTGGTATCGAACACACACACACACACACACACACACACACACACAGGCGAGTATAAGAATTTATTAGACAATGGCTAATGATAGACATATGCGAGTGATTTACTTGCATTGTAGAGGGTTGCCTTAGATATTGAAAGAACTCTTTGTTTATTGCTTGTTATGTTTCTTTGTTCATCTTTATTATTTACTTGTATATCATTTTTGCTTGCATGTTGTGAAGCTATACTGTGTGCTGAAAATTCTTACACAATAAGATTAAAACTTAATTAAATTATTTTGTGGCAATTAAATTGTCACAAATTATGTACAAATAAATTTAAGATTTAAAGTCGGTAACCTTATTAATAATAAAAAATATGTAGATCAAGAATCGTTTTGGAATCAGATCATGACTCACTGAATCGAATCGGATTGTGACTAAAGATTCACCTAATGTCACAGTCAGATGTATCAATAATCATTTTATCATCGCACCCTTCTGAATCAAAATCGAATCCTGAGGTGCCAAGAGATTCCCACCCCACTGCCCAAGAGGTCCCACTACACGTCAAATAAAACTGCTTTAAATAGGACATTTCTGTAGACATCGGCATTTTAAATGACTGAGTTCAGTTTTGAGTATGAAACCAACCTATTTGTTCCTCAGTATCTTCTTGTTTCAAACTGAATACTTCTTCAATCTTCATTTCTTCACTCTCCTCTTTAATAAACGCCATCTTGTGTCACGTGGATCTCAGTTGCTTCACCAGGAGTTTTTCTGTGTGTTTGGACACTCTGTCCCTGTTTAAGATAAAAGAATAATTAACAAAGAAAAATAAATCCAAACTAAATCTCTGGGTGAGTCTCAATCAGCTCTAGTTCAATGCACTGGTAAGGGAGTGTCAGAGTGAGAGTTAAAGTTAGGCTAGGACATTTTTTCAATAAACACTTTTGTTATTCTGGTATAAACTCTCTTCACATCCTAATAGCATAGGCGTAATTTGCGGGTGGGACATGTCCCCACCACTTTTTGCTAAGGTCGATATTGTCCCCACCACTTTTGAAACATCTCGCAGCACGAATGTACCAATACAAAAATAAAACATCTCCAGTTAACTAGCAGAGCATTCATTTTGTTCATTTTTTAAATAAGAGGCGATCTAGCGCTGAAATGTATTTTTAAAAATTTTTTATCAAGTGATCAAAGTGCTCGTTGACGCTGCGATCAGTGGCGCGGATACTGTGTTCTCTTGTGGCTCGCGCACAGTCTTCACTCGGACACGCGCTTCAATCCGTTGCGGAGACTCTCTATTCGTTCCGGTGAAATTACAAAACAAAATATACACAAAAGTGTCCCTGCCTGATATACAACAACTGATAAACATAATCGAATTTGATGAGAAGAAAAAACCCTATACGAGTGTGGATTAGAAGAACCCAGGACCTCTGACACTAGACCATTAGAATACAGGCTTTAATTAGTTGAATCTATGTATTTATTCTTGCCGTTAGCAACACACACACACAAAAGAACGAAGGACTCAAACCCGAAGACTCGAAGAAAATGAACTAATCATTACTCTTTCCGGTACTGACAGCATAGCCTCTATGGGACTGACAGGAAGAACGAAAGACTCGGACCCGTCCCGAACCCGAACTCGAGACTCGAAAGATGAACTAATCATTACTCTTTCCGGTACTGACAGCATAGCCTCTATGGGACTGACAGGAAGAACGAAAGACTCGGACCCGGCCGAACCCGAACTCGAGACTCGAAAGATGAACTAATCATTACTCTTTCCGGTACTGACAGCATAGCCTCTATGGGACTGACAGGAAGAACGAAAGACTCGGACCCGTCCCGAACCCGAACTCGAGAGAGATGAACTAATCATTTCCAGTACAGATTCAGAAACCATTATGTTGCGCAATGCGCATGCGCGATCAACACAAAATGAACAAATCACTCTCTGAGACAACTCGGTAGTCCTGAGTCATATTAAAGATTCGTTCAAAATGAACGAACCGTTCATGAACGACACATCACTACAGTGAGCACCACTTGCTGACAGGAGCACCTGCATCCCACAAACATGTTCACTGAATGAGTGACAGGGTCCCCGCTGTCGCACAAGGTAAGAGGTTGACATGTAGTGTAGAAGACTAGTAAATGAGATTAACGTCTATCAGATATTATGGTTAATGTTTGCGGAAATAAATACACAAAAAAAGATTGATTAGAAAATCTTCTGGGGGGTATTTTGAATGGCTCCATTTCTCCCATTACAACTTGTCAGTACCTGAAATAGGCCTTTATCACAGTCTGCATGTCATCACATCCGATTAGAAACGTAATCGAATTTATGCCTGCATTAGTCAATGGAAGATCGGCAATTTAGACAAGAAAATTAAACTAAATTTGTTAAACCTGACAAAGTAGTATCAATATTTCAAACAGTTCAACATTATGTGTGCGATAATTTTCCAGCGTTGTTTTCACAGTCCTGAGATAAATGAAGATCTGCAAGTTATTGTTTTTATTGTTGTGACATTTATTATTATTTACCTCCAATCTTTTCTAAAATATAATCATATCCAGTCAAAGCCAGAGTATGGGACACATTTAAGATGATCAAACTAGTTATTTTTGTGGAATTTGGGCTGGAAATATTCACTTATTTGAACAACTTTAATTTGTTTGTAATACTTGTTTGTAACAAAGTGAAATAAGTGCATGATCAAATTTGCACAGTCTTTACTCATAATTAATATTTTATGGGATGTATAATGTTGTCTAATTCTAATGCTCTTTAATGTGATATTGTGCGAATACAAACATTCATTTCTTGCTTTCTTTAACAAAAAGGTGATCAGACTCTATAAATATTGCACATACATATACAGTAGGCTTGTGTGCTCCACTTTAAATCATGAAATATGCACCGCTCAGGCAAAACTCAGTAACTAAAGGGCCATAGCTTCAATTTATAATAGTACTATCTATAATTAATACAAATAATTGCAAGTGTCTCTATTTAGTTTGTATTTGCTGATTTTCTTCTGTTTTCCTCAACGATGGTCAATAGTTAAAGCACTGTTTTGCTTTTCGGTATTTCAAAGTGAACGAGCAGTTTGTGACCCGGATGTGCGAAATAAAAAGCTAAAATGTTTGAAGAGAGAAAAAGCCATTTCAAAGATGAAAACAATTATGCACATTCAATGTAAATTATATTATAATGCATTGGGGACGTCTCCACAGTTATTAACCAAGAAAATTAGACGCATGTTTTCTATTACTTTTGTGTGGATGCACTTTACTCACAAAAATAAGACTGATAAATGTTAGATACAGCATTACAATATCACGTTGAATAATAATCTATTCATTCTACAGCGCTTGCAAAAACTATAACATTGAATTAACGGTTTTTACCAATTTAAACGCTTAAAATGCTTACAAACACAAACCTTTCTTCAGTCGAATCCCCTCACACACGAAAGTGCGGCGCAGCATTATGACGTGTTCTTTTTCTTCTGTGCATTTACTGGCGAGTTGCAAACCGACTAAAAAGGAGCATAGCGCCACCTAATGTGCTGGAGGGTGACAAAGAGGAAGATTTTCTGTTTCAAACCATCGCCCAGACAGCAAACTGACTACGAAATCAAATAAGGTAGCCTACAAAAAAAATAAAGGAAATAAAATAAAACACTAGGGGTTTTCATAAAGTTTCACATCCTCTATCAAAGTACATAAGATTAAGGCATTCTTTTTCTTTATCAATTTTAGCGATAAGAAGTAATGACACAAGTTCTTTATGAAAAACGTAAATGTTTGGTAGTGTTTTCAGGAATCTATTCTTGTGTAAAACGAATTTCCCAAGAATAATAAATGTGTTTGCTGCCAAGTTAAGTGTTTCATCTTTCATAAAATACCAAAAATTATATTTTCCTTTGTTAATACAGGTAAATCCTTAAATTTAGGAAATAACCAGTAATGCAAATCCTCCCAAAAGGTATAGGCATGGGTATAGGCAAATTTACAATCATAAAATAGATGTTCTGTTGTTTCAATCTGATCAACACAAAAGGAACTATTAGCATCAAGACCAAATCGACATCTTAAAAATTCTCTAGATGGATATACTCAGAATTTTAAAGTGCACTTCCTTTGCTTTTGGTGCAACTGGAAATTTAAGATATTTTGTTCTTAAGTTCTTAATTTCAGCACTGGAAAAATATTGAGAGATTGAATTTTTATTTGAAGAATAAGGATATAATTCCTCCACAAAGGCTTTGCGAATTATAATATTGGGTACATTTATGTGAGTTAGAGAAACTCCATTCACCAAAAGCTTAGGAAGACGGGGTTACATTACTTTTTTCCCAGGTTTGGGGATGAGAGTGATAATCCCTTGTTTCATAGTAGTTGGAAGAATGCGGGATTCAGATATTTCTTTTAACATATGAAAAACAAGGTCTTTAAAATACTTCCAAAAATGCCTATAGAAGTTACTCGTTTATCCATCTAAACCGGGTGATTTGTCTAATGATAAACATTTCATGGCTTTTTCCACTTCAACCATACTAATATCTGCATCACAAACATTTTTAAAACTCTTATCTACTTTGGGGATCCAATCTTTAATAAGATCAAAGAACGCATAGGCATCTGTGTGTGAATAAGAGGAGGAATACAGTTTACTGTAGAAATTGTAAATTTCCTTAGAAATCTTATCAGGATCTGTGCATTCTTGGTTATTAATTAGCAAAGACTTAATACCATTACGCTCTTGTCTCTTTTTCTCCAATCTACAAAAATAGGCAGAGCTCCTTTCACCCTTGATCTTATATACGCTCCTTTGGCTTTATCAAAATAAATGTTGTCTAGTGAGATTGTAAGAGAATAAGTTTTTGTTTGTCACTTTCATTTAAGGAAGGTCTAATACAAATACTGTTTATTTCTTTAATAATTTCCAAAAAAAAATTTTGTGCTATTCCTGCTTAATAATTTACCCGAAGATATAGAGATCTGACGCACCTTATATTTTAAATATTCCCATTTTTCTCTATAAGTTGTAAAATTTGAATCTCCAGTTATATTATTAATTGTAGCTATAATTTCTTGACAAAAGGTTTCACTGTTTAGAAGATTTGAGTTAAATTTCCAGTACCCTTTTGTCCTTTGATATGTGTTTGCAGGTTTAATAATAAGTTTAACCATACAGTGGTCAGTTAAAGGTGCAGCGGAAACCATAGAGCTTGACTCCAGACAAGATCCAACTTCAGACTAGCCAAAAATCTAATCTAGATTTCACTGAGCCATCAGGTTTAAACCAGGTGAAGACTTGGATACAAGGGTTTTTAGTCCGCCATACATCTATCAAATTAAACACACTACAAAAGTTAAGCAATATGGGATTGTAATGATGTCTTGTATATTTTGAAGGAGACCTATCAAGCCAATCATCTATTACCATTTTAAAATCACCTCAGAAAATAAAGTTTTCAGTAGGATACCTTTGACCTAAATCCTTTACAACTCTGATAAGATCATCAATCAATATTTTGTTTTGGTTTTGATTATTATATCCATATATATTTCCCAAAATAAAAAAACTATCCTCTATTCCAAAGAATTTAGATTTCTGGAAGTAAACAATCTTGCAAGGCCCCTATCAAGCATTATTAAATGTGATCAGAATAACTAATAAAATAAACATTATTTTCCTTAAATTAAAGATCTAAAGTGAACATAATTTATTTTTTGAAAAACGTGACTTTTTTTGTAAAGCTTTAAAGTAAACACTGTTTTTGAATTAACAAGCTAACAATTAAATAATTTTCTTTCTTTTTTTCCTCCCTTTTTTACATAGTGATTATTAACCTGAGAACTCACTAGTCACTAATGTAATAACAAAACTTTACCCCTTTAACAACAACAACAGTGTGATCAGGAAAGATGTTTAGGTTAGGGCAGAACCTATTAATATAAAGCCTGAGGTATAAATCTCAATCTGTTAGAGCGAGAGGTAAATCACTTTTGTCCAAAGCTCTGTCTAATCCAGAGTAACCCTGTTACCGTTGATGTAGCCCACATGTCATCTAGTACACATTCTGGCCTGCCGCCCTGGCTTGCTCCATCTTCGGCCATCCAGCTGTGCGAGTCTCCCTGTCAGCTTTGCAAAAGTCTTGCTTGAAGTGAATTCCCAGATCTTTGCAAATCTTAGAGGTTTTGGACAACTTCCAGATGGAATCACGGTGGAATCTCATGATGAACTGGATAATAACCTGACGGTCTCTCCCCTCTTCCTTTCTCCCGATTTTTCTATCGCTTGAATCTTGACCTTGCACTCTTTAATCTCAGTGGCATTCAGCTCCACTAGTATGGTGATATTAGCCACCATGACAGAGTTTTCTATCAGCTGATCACCGAAGCGGTCAATTCTGGAGGTGAGCTTTTCTATAGCTTCAACAAGAGACGCGTTTGGAACTTCAGACGAATCCTGTGAGGTTTTTACCTTCGAAGGTGGTGCTGGAACTTTCGCTGGAGTAAGAGGGGAACTCTTTCTCTTTGTCCCACCACTGGTTGAATACATCCATCTGCGCGTAACCATGGTCCGTATTTGCTTGGCCTGAGGTAACGGCTGATTTAGGTTCGGTGTTTCCGTTTGGCATGTTCGGTTAAAACTTTGATTGGGCTTTACATTTCTGGAATAAAACGTTTCAATCACTTATTTAAATGTTCAAATTACTTTTTATAAACCTTTTGACCAATCACATTGAATTCTGAAGTAAAAATTTTGGGGCAGGTGAACGAGAGCTCAGAAAGTATTGCTTATAAACAAGCTACAGTTAGTGCAAAATGCAGCCGCTAGAGTTCTTACTAGGTCAAGAAAATATGATCATATAACACCAATTTTATCATCTCTGCACTGGTTACCTATTAAGTTCCGTATCAATTACAAAGTATTACTACTGACCTATAAAGCCCTAAATGGTTTAGCTCCTGTGTATTTAATGGATCTTCTATCGCCCTACAATCCATCGCGTTCTTTAAGATCACTAAATTCGAGGCTTCTGGTCATTCCTAGGATATCTAAGTCTACTAAAGGAGGGAGGGCGTTCTCAAATTTAGCTCCTAAACTCTGGAATAGCCTTCCTGATACTGTTCGTTGCTCAGACTCGCTCTCCCAGTTCAAAACTAGATTAAAGACGCATCTCTTCAGCCAAGCATTCACATAATGCTTACCTTTTATACCACTGTTGAATCAGATCGAATGCATTAATATTATGAACAGCAGCTACGCTAATTATTTCCCATCTGCTTTTCTGCTGTTATCGTCCCGAGGTAAATAGCGTTCGTCAGCTCCAGTTTGTATCCAGCCTCTCACGGAGACTTCAGATGCCCCAACACCTGCGATGAGACGACTAAACGCCTGTGAAGAGACGACTCAACGCCGGCGATATGTTATGCCCTAAATTAATACATGATGATTAACTAACTGTATTTTTCTATGTACATTTCTGAAATGCACTTTCTGTAAAGCTGCTTTGAAACAATATGTATTGTGAAAAGCGCTATACAAATAAATTTGAATTGAATTGAATTGAATTGCCCGTTCCGCCATCTTGCCGAAATCCCGAAACTGTGTCCACTTGCACACGCCGCGGTGGCGGCTCGCGAATCCGGTCTGACATCACTGCGGTCCCTTTGCGTATCCGTACATAAATGGGTACATCCCCCCCCCCGCCTTCGCTTTGGATCCGCGAATGAGCCGCTAATCCGCTCCAGGTCCGTTTTGGACCCCGTCATATGAGCATCATATCCAGCCTGGGTCCATTTTGGACCCGTTCATAAAATTCCGTCTGCAATGCCACTTTTTTCCCCACACTGCCTGATAACTCATCCAAAATTCATGCAATGAATCCAGTGTGTGAACGTGATTGCACTGCACCTTGTTAAAGATGTCAGGACGAGAAATAGGATGTGAAATCCGAGGCTTGAAGTGTCTGTGGGTTTTGGTATGTGTCAGTTCTAAGTGCTATAGCAAGACTAGTTGTAAGTAGTGCTTCGAGAGGAGATGTTCTCTGATTATAAATAGGCTACAGGCCAATGGAATTTGTAAAGGGCATGGTCTCTGAATTGGAAAACAATGTGTAGCCTGCGACAGACTATTTCAATTAAAACTGAAACAATTTGAAAGAAATAAATCATTTTATTTAACAAAAGAACAAATAAACATAAGTAGCCTAATCATCGGCCTCAGCCTGGTTAGACCGGTTGGTCAGGCGCCTCCTCGCCGCACCACGGTCTGCAGCCCGGTTAAACCATCTTATGGCATAACGTTGAATGTCTGTGGCTGTGGCTGTGCGACACAAACCATTTGCACGTACAGCACCTGTAAGCACAAAATGAGGTTTTAAATTCAGCATGCATTTGGTAGGCTACTTATGACTTAAGCTACTTATGACTTATGACTTAACCCCGGGCTGCCCAGTTATTGGCTGGAATTAATCAGTGTTGCCAGATTGGGCATCTTTTGACTTCGTCGGCTAAATGTTAGGCTTCAGATGCATTAACAGT